ATAGTATTGTATTTATGTTAAATTGTAGGGTTAGTATTTTAGAACTGATGGTTTCTTTCCCAGACAGCTTCTGAACTGCTTCCCAGTTTTTAGAAGCTAGAAGTGTTAAATATTAGCGTCAGGATGGTATAAGCTAGCTGCTTTTGTTTTAATTCTTGTTTGCTTCCAAGGTAATAATACTTGCTTCTATGGGAAGTGCTACTACTGCCGGGAAACAGAGCCAGCCTGTGCTGAAGGAGATTCCATGGAGGGATCACTCACTCTCTGGCTGCCAGATGTATGGCCTCTTCAGAAACATCGGCATCCATGGGGCAGGACATACAGGGAGGGCAAGTTAGCCAGGTATGGAGTTCACAGCAGTGACCTGCTTGCTGTTTCAGTTGGTCCGTCCAGAGAATGGACTACAGTTACAGAGGCAAAGGGAAGTACCAGCCTTAAATTGTTGACCTGATCATGTATTTTGTACCTGAGTGGGATTGTTAAAAATCAGGTCCTTTTCTGGGAAAGAACACTGAGAAACAAGGGGGCAAATATTTCAAAGATGAATGAGAAATGAAGATCCTTTTTTGTTTTTCCTTTAACCTTTGTCTTTTCCATGGAAAAATCAATTTTTTTAGCTTGACTGGGATGGCCTAGTATAATACTAACTGCAGTTGTTATAGTCTGGGTGAATAGTACAGGAGCTGAATTTTGAGTTGTGTTTATCTGCTTGAAAATCCCTAAACCCATTTTCAAAAAGAGTATTCAACAGCAGTCATTCTAGTTTCTGCCACAGACGTAGTTATATTTATAAAAGCACAACACACTATTCTGTGTTAGGAAAGGATGAATCAGTTTGTTTCAAGTCTGCATCGGTTTCATTCTGCATTAATCCATGAGCTGAAGTGTGATGTGCAATATTGGTTTGAATCAGTTCAGGTCTGCTTATGTCAAAAATCAGTCTTGCAATTTATCATCCTTTCTGATTTCACATCCGTTTTCTGAATATCTATGTTGCCAGTCATCATTCATGACTGAATTAAGAGGCTAAATTTAACGAAGAAATATATGAAGAGTATATTAAAAGGACAAATAAAAACAATTAACCTCTATGTTAAAAGAGAAACTGCAGTTGAAACTGAAATAGAAGAGACAATTTTGCCATCTTTTGCTATGGTCTTTACCAGCAGACTTTGAGATAATCTTATTTTAAATCTATCAACACTTTTATTTTTTTTCAATTATGCATGCTTCTCTTTCAACCTTTTGAAGTTACATAATTGTACTATAAATCTTAAAGATCAACAGCGTTTAGTTGAGTTTCTGTGTCTGCTTGCAGATGGGAATATGATGAGAGTTACTGTGATGCTGTAAAGAAGACCTCACCTTATGATTCAGGCCCACGGCTTCTTGACATCATTGATACAGCCATCTTTGATTATCTGATTGGGAATGCTGACCGACATCATTATGAAAGTTTTCAGGATGATGAAGGGGCCAGTATGCTTATTCTACTTGACAATGCCAAAAGGTAGGAAATATGTTAACTTCCATGCAAATTCCTTCAGTAAAATTATTGCCACCAGATTACAGTTGGTTTGTCATAATTACTGCAGTGTTGAGGTTATCCAAAGGTTTAACCTGGTTTGTGGGCTAACTGAAATATCAAGAATTCCATATACATTTCAAATTCCTGTTTAGGTTTATGGGAAAGAGAGACTTTAGAGTCCTTGGTGCTCTCTGAGCTTGGTTGTTTGCTTGCAGACGTTTCATTACCTGACTAGGTAACATCATCAGTGCTAGTGAGTGTGGAGTTTGCTCCCTGTACATATAGTGTAGCTTGCCCTGCCAGTCTTGGTGGGGATGTGGTTGTCTCCTTGGTAGTTCCTTGATTAGGATATTGTTTTCTGCTTGATTATTTGCCTGGTGTTAATTCTGGCTTATCTGGGTGTTGGCTGCTGGAGAGGATGTGTTCTGGTCTTTTATCTTTTTTGTTGTCTCTTTTGGATGGTGTGTAAATATGATTTGTTCTGTTAATGGCTGATTTGTCTGAATGCCAACCTTCCAGGAATTTGCTAGTGTTTTTGGATTTAATTTGGTCTTGGATGCTCACAGTTTCCCAACTGAAATTATGGCTGAGTCTGTGTTGTGAGATTAAGGAGTTTTCATCATGTCTTCTGACTGCTAGTTGGTGTTCATGGATGCACTCTGCTAGTCGTCTGTCTGTCTTACATGGTGCTGTTACAGTCCTTGCACTGTATGTTGTAGATGACTCTGTTTTTTCTTGGGCTACTGGGTCTTTTGGTTTACTTAAGATGTATTGGAGGGCTTTAATTGGTTTGTGTGTTACAGTGATGCCATGTGGTTGTAATAATCTATTGGTTGTTTCTGAGATGTTTTTGATGTATGGTAGTGTTATCCTTTTCATAGCTTGTGTTGTGCTGTAGTGGGTTGAGTGGTCAGGCACTTTTTGATAAAGTTGCATAGGTATCCATTTTGTAGGAGATGTTGTAGAGATTTTTCCAGAGGGAAAGACTTTTTCATTTTATATCTGTTTTTCAGTTTTGGAAATCCTTCCCTGGATGAGAGAAGTATTCTTGCACCTCTTTATCAATGCTGCATGTGAGTAAAGAATAAAAACTTACTGACTTATTTGTATATTACTTGCATGCCTTAAAAGCAATATTGACAGTATTTAATGTACATCCCATCAGAAACCTGTTGAGTCCTCATGTCTGATGGTTAGTCCAAAGCCACTTCAGCATTTGAGAGAATACTTAGGATGTTAAATACAAAATTATGTCTTTTGCAGAATCTAAATTGAGGGTTTGATCAGTCTGGAATTTCTACTTTCTGAGATCCTATGTGTTAAAGTGTCATTCCTCTAACCTTCTAGTTGTTTAAAGAAAGAGAAGGCTAGCGTTGAAAAATAATGCTGGAGAAGGATATTCCTTCTAACCTTCATAGCTCTTTTCCTGTCAACCTTTTCAGCTATC